ATAGTAACATTTCCTGTATTCAATGCACCTTTCCTTGGGTATTATTTTTACAGCTTATTAGCAATAGTATTGAATACTAATCAATAAAATACAAGCACACAAGCCAAACAGCACGAAAGGGCGAAAAGAATTTTATATGAAAAGAAATTCGCGCATAAAATTTTGCAAAGCAAGTTTGATTTAAGTAACAGCAAAGTAAGTCCACTTTGAGCTGAGGTGGGGACAGTAGCTTAGCTTGCGTACTGTATATCTGTATTCGAATGCGTCTTGCGCATAAATTTGCCATGATTTGTATCGATACTCTCTGTTCAAAGAACTATTTCAAAGCCGAAAAAGCTCCAAAACTTTTTTTTTGGCGCGTTCCGTACAATTTACGATTTTTCGAGGAGAGGAATAATTTAATATTCTTTGCTAGAAATGCCAACTTCTCAGGTCACAATCCGAATTAACAGGCACACTATACTAAGACAAAGAAATTATTACCTTGACATTGACACAATTTCTTCACTTAATACTACGACTCCATTGTTTAATTGGAGAGCTCTGCACTTTTGTGGAAAACATTTCTCTACTCTACTTTTATCACAAAAAAAAAAAAATTTAAACACATGCTTTCAATCTTACCCAAAGATTCCTCCGCTATCGAATAAACGAACTCGGTGATAGAAACTGTGAATTAATAAGACGCAATAACTGGTTATTTCCTTTGAAAATAAGAGAGAAAAGGCAATGAAAATCATAGACAACTTATGAAAACTTCTTGCTTAAACAGAGTTGTTACCTCTCCGGAGTCTGATGGCCAACTGAAAGACGTTGTTTCTTGAACAACTATTTTTGCAATAAACAAAAAGCAAAAGTTGGAATTAATGTCAGTAAGAATGGGACTATTGAAACTTAAGTCACAACTGAAGCGTTAATTAAACTCATTGTGCGTAATGGTGATCTCTTACACCTTTTGCTGTTCCCTATGAGAAAATCCGCATTCGTTTGCGTGAAAAGGCGAAAAATTGCGTGAAGTTGCATCATTAGCGACTAAAAACGATCATTAGCGCGTAAATTAGATATAAGAAAGATTTTTGCTTTTAATCAAAATTCAAGAGCATTTTTAGGCATTCTTAGGCATTCTTATGCGTCATTCGTCACACAAAAGAGGAAAGTATACTTTCCTTTGCGCTAACCTTCAAGTCATTAACACCATCTTAAATGCCAATAGAGACAACACACAAACATTATAGAGCAGAAACCATTCATTTAAATTTTTAGCATACTGTTTGCAATTCAGCAGCTGAATTCCTGGATGGCATTGTTGTGAATAAGACAATCATTACAGCACTTGTTCAAACACCAGAGTGTTTTTTGCATTCAATATGCAAGTATCGATTTTCAACTGAGCACCTTTTTTGCCTGAAATTTACATTTTCAGTAAATGTCTTTCAGTTCATTCGTTTCGTGAACATCTTCAAGCCGCCAGCAAAATGCCACGAAGAAACCGAATACCACTCGAACATAGAGAGAGAATCGTAAGAGGATTCGAGGACCTGGAGGAAGACTATCTTGTGGTCGCAGACAGGCTTGGAATAAACCGATCAACGGCAAGAGGCATCGTGGCGCGCTACATTTGAGAGGGCAGGATCCAAGAAAGACCACGAGGTGGTAGAAACAACGTGCGCGTAGATGATAAGATGAGAGATTGCCAGGAGGAAATCATCAACGGAAGATATACATCAAGCTTAAAGTGCACAATGGTACCTCTTTATGCAGACCTATCTGCCAAGATGTTTGAATAAAGAGATTATTTCAACTAAAATTCAGAATAAAATGAAATTGGAATGAGTATTTTTTAATTAGAATTCGATATTTGAATATTGAAAGTAAAAAAAACGCTCATTAGCTTGTGCAAGCGCATTAATGATTGTCCTAATCTTACTAACGTCGTGTAGGAAGGATATTGAATTGCAAACGATGGGATAAAAATGTTAATGAATAGTTTATGCATTTTAATATTTGTCTCGCAATTGTCTCTATTGCCTTTCATGATGGTGTTAATGACTTGAAGGTTAGCGCAAATAACAGTATATTTTTCTCTTCCGTATGACGAATGACGCATAAGAATGCTATTGAATGCTGATTAAAGTGCAAAAATCGTTATTGAATCTGATTTGTGCGCAAATGATCGTTTTTTGTCGCTAATGAATGCAACTTCACGCAATTGTTCGCCTTTTCGTGCAAATGAATGCGTATTTTCTCATAAGGAACAGTAAAAGGTGTATAGAAGGGTGAAAAAGGGTTTGTCAGTGATGCGTGATTAAGGCCAAAACTGATATGTGACGCATAACTTAACAGAAAAGCGAGCGTGGTTCTTGAATTTATGAACCAGCGTGAGGCATGATTTGCCTCCTGAAATAGACGTGACCCTTTGATTTTTTATGCTTTAGTTTGTGAAAACTTCAAACATTTCATGAAGCCTTGTGCACATGAAGAGAGATTTGAAGTTTTCCCTTTTATATAAGTAAAGCGTGAATTTTTCTGAAATTTGTGAGTGAAACGGGATCAGTCCCCCCCCCCCTTCGCTACCCACTTATAGATCATCTTCTTTAAACTGACCTCGCCAAGCATCTGGAGTGAACTACTAGGTGGCAGCCATGTTTTCACGAAGACAAGTACGAGGCTATGCACATCATTCACTCACATGATGAGTCAATTATCAAATGCACTTCTGGTGACCCTTTGAAAAACGTGACCAATTCAAAGATATCTGTGTCACGACATGAAAGGATTTCTCTCAGGACAATCATATCAATATCATATCGATTCAGGTGGAATCAAGCATTCTATCAGTTAGTTTATCCAAAACGTATCAAGGAACTTTTTACAAAAGATGAGACCTCGTAACTCCCTTTTGCAAGAAGAATTTTCATTTCAAATTTTGTTTGTATAATATTATATGGATGTAGCAATTTTGCATCCTAAATAAAGGATCGAAATAGATGATAGCTTTCGCGGCTGACGGTTAAAATTTTGGTTATTTTACGGCTGACAATATAATAATAACAATATGTCTTTATTCGTTCATAGGATAAAAATACATTTCCCATTTTGCTATTTGAAAATCTAAAGCGTACAAAGTAAAAATTTGTAGAAAAATCCACTATTCTAGTGCTAAATTATATTTAGAGACCAATCTATTTACATAGGTACCCATAGAGCGAACCGTATTGATCTTGGTTTTTTTCAGAGGATTTCCTTCTAAGGTTATGATGGTAGATTTGATTCAATGAGCCCTTTGCAGCTAGAGGTCACGTGCTTGGATACCGGGTAGCAACGCAAAATGAGCCAAAATTACACGTTCTAGGAAACATTTTTACGGCTAACTTTTGCCACGATTAACAGCTAAAATTTGCCAATTTTTACGCCTAACAGCTAATTATCGGTTTACCTTATTAAGACCCTCCGGACACCTACACAAATAAGGATTGAAATCACTATTTTTCTTGAAAGGGGAGTTACAAGGTATATCCTTTGTAAAAACTCCCCTAGAAAATAGAAAAACCAAGTAGGCAAATATCAAAAGATAACTAAATCCTGAATTCAAACCGTTTGAATTGGCTTACAGTGTGCTTGATTACACCCTATACTTTGTCCGCTTTATCCACAGTCATATTATTACTGTCCTACGAGAGAACCTTTCATATAATGACACCAATATGTTTGAATTCTTCACGTTACTCAAAAGGTTGCCTAAAGTGTATTAATTATATAAACTACAAGGTTTTAAAAGGATTTTCAGCCCTGGCGAATGCGTTAATTTCATTCGAGCAAAATGACCATAATTTTTTACTTGTGTTTGATATTACCAATCAGCTGCTGATATGTCAATTGCCTTTCAAGTCACTGTCATAATTCAAGTCTACTTTTATTGTTAGTAAAGGCTTATGGTGAGTTTCGTTCACTCGTTAGATATCGGGTCGATCGCTTCGAAGAGAAATTTCATATCTACGCGCGCCTATGTTCTATTCTTTGTTTGGTAATAGACTTATCACGTACTTAAAAGAAACTATGGTGCTTTTTCGGTAGGAATTATAACAAGAAAATTTTTTTTTATCGAAGGGCTAACGCTCGAAACCTAAGCTTCAGAAAATACTAACGGTGTTCAATTAGCATTATCAACTTAGTTGATTAAACCAAATTATCTTTCTTAATATAGATGTAGCAATTCTACATCCTGAATACTATATGTATTTATGTGCATGTAAGACCTAAATAGTCTCTAAATCCTTCTCCAAAGAAATCTGAAATCTGTGCCGCGGAACACCCGACTCACCAATCAGTTTACTAACTCCTAAAAATAGATATCAGACAGATATTGAGCAATTTTATTTTAGCTAAAGCGTATGATAACTGATATCCTTTTTCATAAATATTTTTGATTTGTATAAATAAATGGTGAACCATGCTTGTTCAAGAAATAGTCTGCAAAAAAAGTACTTGGTGTCCATTTTTATAAGGCCCACAACAAAACCCACAATTCGTTTTCTGCCGGTTTTCTTGTTCACTTCTCTTCACAGCGTTTTTCTCATTTGAGAATGCATAGATCCGTGGACAAAAAAAACAATGGATACCAGTAGCTTTCTACCGAGTAGTCCGTGGATAAGCATGCTTTGTCACTCAGATATATTTTAAATGTATTCATGAGTGGATTTTTGAAAGATATTCCAGCCTAGAGCAGACCCACTTTACGATGACGTTCAAACGTCTACGCGTTTGCAAAAGAGCTTACAACCTGTCAGGCTGTTGTGTTCGAAAGTCTCGAGATTTCCTTTTCCTAACTTTTGTTGTCTTTTACAGGTTCCTATGAATGTTTCAATTTCTGTTTCTAAATCTTAACACGAGGTTTAAGTTAGACTTTGTGTTACCAGCATGCTCGAGATCCATGAGCAACACAAATTTTCCATTGAGGCACGAAATTTATTTTGAATGAAGAAAAGGTCACAATTGAACAGTTTTGATGTTAAAAATAATTTTCATTTCACACGCTTCTTATCTACTTCATTCCAGCCATTTACACCTTTTACCCCTAAGATTTGAAGATACATTCTATGCGTTTGAGGGAGCGTTTTCCATTGGGAGTGAAAATTAATCTAAAATTTCCTTAATTTCGTTTCACTTTGATCTGTGATTGGCCAAGAAAACTTGCGCCATTCTCTCAATCAATCAAATTCAAAACTAGGACCAATCGCGTCTTGATCATTCGCGTTTTACCGCACTTCGGGAAGTTTGCTTGTTTCTCTATGAGCTCTCATCGGCTCCTTGTGATTTTCTTATCTGATCTGATTGGCTGCATTTGGACTACCTTTGTCTTGGTTTTACGACACTCAATCGAAAGCGCTCTATCGTGAACGCTGTCATGACACATCGTCCCATGACTCCGAGGGTCTGAGCCGCAATATTTCCCCTCTGGGTTTCATACATTTCCTCGAGAGTTGGTTTGGAGAATTTGATAAAATATGAAGATGACAACCTTAAGCTGATTCTTCTCACATGTTTATGATATGATGCAGCGTAATTCTGAAAGGAAGTATCATGTCAGTCACCCATTACAGCTTAGACGGAAGTCTTTGGCGTCAAAGGCGATAGTGAGCGCTCTACTTTGTTCTGGATGGGAACCAAACAAGGACGATTCCGAAATGAGCTATCACTGGGGTTTGAACTATCGATCCTTCTGTTTTCAAGCGATAATCTCCTTCCAGGAGTAATTCTTTGCTTGGAAGAGTTCGTGTCGTTGCTACGATTATTTCTCGTTCTTCTTCGTGATGGAGATGGATCACTGTTCCTTCTGCTATGGGCTCTGACTGAGGCATGAGCCCGAATAGTTCTGTGTCCGACGCCACGACAGCTAAAACAAGTCAGCAACAATCTCTTAAAGGTTTTCCTCATCTCACCATTGCGGTAAGCATACACCATAGGATTTACCATACTGTTGGAGTAATGCATCCACTTCACGAACCGAATTAGCCTCAGAATTTCAGGAAAAGGTGGCAGTAAATGATGCCAGAACTCTGCAAACAGGTTCACAATGCAAAATGGCAACCACGCGATTATAAAAAGTCCGGTGATAACCGCAATGGTGGCAGCAATTTTGGCTTCACTTTGTGCGCTGTTTCCTCCGTGTCCTGCGGGATGAACCCTTGCTCGGGTGGTCCCCTTAGCCGCCTGGAAAATGATGGCATACACAGTTACTATGATAAGTGCTGGGACGGCGAAGCACCCAGTGAAGAGGATAATACTATAAGGTTTTTGCCACTTGTTCATTTGAACGGGAAACAGTCCTGCCATGATGAAAGCGAAGCTCCAGGCGGTCATAATCATGCCGTAGTAAATCCACATGGAGTAAGCTCGATGGTTTATCGGGCGAGTTATCGCCAAATAGCGTTCAATACTGATGGCTGTAAGCTGCAGCACTGAGGCACAGCCAGTGAAAATGTCCACTGTTGAATAAAATGTCAGAAGGTCCTGATCTATCACGCATGTTATTAATTGTTGGCAAGACGAAATGTAAATCCACAACGGAATCGATATCAGCCCGACCAAAAGGTCTGACACGGCCAAGCCAACTAGGAAGGTATTGTTAATAGTGCGAAGCCTTCTATTAAACCTAAACGCTGCGACGACAAGGACGTTTCCAAGTATTACAAATAACGACAGAAAGCAGTAGAGGATCGTTGATGCAATATTTTCCACTTCATCGTTTGGCAAAGTCGGAAGAGCTTGCGGGGGAAGACTTTGAGTAGCGGAGGATGAGTTTTCGTTCATATCAGCCACTTGTACCGTCGCTTCGTCAGTCTCGATTTCTTCTGGCTTTAGTTGTCATCACCTGAAAGATATGAAAGCGAATAACAGAGTGCCCTGTGTCATCTGAAAATATTGATTTTAAACCGACGTTTGGCAAGAGAAAACACTAATTCTCTAGAGGATTCGTCATAATAAATTAGTTAACACCTAAATCTGTTGTTAACGACATTTTTGATGAAATAGCAGTGGTTGTAATACTCAATTAAAGAATTCTTAATCGGTTTATCTTGGCTGAAAAGACGAGATTAGCCTCGATGTAAGCGTCACATTCATCGCTAAACTTTGCAACGTGAATACATTCTAAGCATCTTATGAATCCGTCGAGTTCAAGAGGTATAAATATTTTCTCTCCAACACAATGTCTACGATTAACAAAGCGTGCAGGGTTAATCCTAAAACACAATGAGAAAAACTTTGGAAGACAATGTTGCTAGGAAACGGAAACCTTGCCAAAAGAAAAAAAAAAAAAAAAAAAAAGATTATACGTTTTTTTTTCTTCCTATGTGACAAATTGCATTTAAAAACTCCGCTGTGATTTCGCAATTTTCAGTTAAAATCGTCGATTAAGCCAAAAAGAATTAAGTATTTGAGTCACGTTTCGTGTTTGTCGAAGCCTTTCTTCCTCAAAAAAGCCTTTTCATTCACTAAAAAATTAGGATCTTAACTGATTCTTTTAATTCGAAGAGCTCTCCTGGCTTCCGAATAAATCATTTTGCTAAGTTTAAAAACCAGTGGAAAAGGAATGTTAAATTTGCCTGATGTCGCATCGCGAGATACGGAGAAACATGCACGAAAACGAGATAACTGTCCTTTCTCAGTCAATTCACAGCATCTTGAGTGAACTACATAGCCTTTTTTTTAAGTCATTTTACAAAAAACTGCGGTCCTTTTTAGCAATGAAACGCTGTTCGAGACACACCACAGTCAGATCTTCCGATTTTTTCCAAATTTCCGTTCCTCGTGTAAAGACTCCCTAAAAGTGTGGTTGAGGATGTTGACTTTCCACTCAATTTTTTCTGTTTTGTTTATAGAAGCACCTCAGTTAATGCTTTTCTTTCATTTTAAAGTCATTAACGCTGATTAGTTAGCTAAAACAGAATGATGGTTCGGAAGAGACATTGTTATATCAGCATAATTTTGAGTTTAGGTGTCAAATGGCTTTTGTGTCGTAAGCGCCTCTCAAATGAAGTGATAACGTGAGGAAATAATGCATCAGTCATTCCGCTTCATTGTGGGGTATTAATTAAATCTCTTCCTGCTAAGTGTGTCAAAACAAATGCAATTTTATAATTTATCTTGGGGGGATATTTCAAAAACCTTCACGGGCAAAAATATGACAAAGTTCATGGTCACATACCCTCCGTTTTATTAATCTTTTTTCATGCCCTGGAATCGCACCCACAAACTTAGATTATAAGTAAGTATTACGTCGCAAGGGGACGTTTAAAAAACAAATCCGAATAGAAAGGGACTTTTTTAATGTGCCAAAGGCTGGCTACTCCTTTAGATTGACGATTGAACATGCTGGAAACGTGAAAAAAAATATATCTGAAAACGTAAGACGAACTAAAGATTCAAAGGAAACATGAAAATGTTAAGGCCGGAGGTTTAATTTTTTGACACTTCGTTTTTAACGCAATGCTGTGCGGAAGGGAACAAAAGACTTGGGAAACAATTATTGGCGACATACAACTAAACTTGATCGCAATTGGGGCCAAGTGTTAAAATTATATGGGCAACAATGAAGTCATTTGATAACTAAAAAAGTGAATGAAAAGCTGTACAGCTCGGGTGATGCGATCGTTTCAATTATTTCGAGTACGCGGAGCCTAGAGTAAATCATTTAAGTTCCAAACGGAAAATATAGCACATATATATATAAAAGGCATTTTTTTTTAATGAATTATCTATTTTATGGTTTCTTTATATCTGTTTGATACCTGTGGTTTTTGGTCCGTGACGTGACACTTTGGCGTTAAGTTTGTGCGCTACTTACTGAAAACTGCAAATGTTACTTACATCATGGCTTTTCAGTAGATTATTCCTTTTTTTCGGCTCTTGATTCACACTATTATCCGCAATCAATGGCAAATCAAACCAACTTTGCGTAAGATTACTGTAGCTGCTGCTGTCATTGCGATTAAAATCAATTTTTTTCTGAAAAAATCTGCATTTCCAATCTGCAGGAAACAAAGAGGAAGATTTGAAAATTCTAACTTCGATCCCAATGGCAGAAAAATCCTTATCAAGAAGTTTATGTTGTCAAATTGTGAAAACAATTTTTTTTAGCAATTTAGGCCGATTTAGTCCACTTATCGAGCTTCAGGCGACATTTTGCCATTAGAAGCAAAGTAATATCTTCAATAAAACGTCGGATGTAAAGGCCTTATCTGATGTCAGGATTCATAAACACGTTTTCCAAGAAAAAGAGAATCATGGCTTTCTGCACAAGTCATTACTTCTAATTTACGTAGAATAGTACAGAAAAATCGCGTCTATTTTCACGTCTCGTTGAGAAATCTCTGTTTATTAATAATTAACAGCTTATTAGTGTGGAAATTGTTTTTTATGCATGGAAATTTCGAGAAAAGTAACGAAAACGCTAAGTTAATTTGTGAATATTCATCACGAAATGGTCTGAATCACGAAAGTGTCCAGTAGGGTCGCAAATTGAAAATCTCTGGTCTAGAAGATCAGAATTTGAGCATATTTGCTACATGAAGGTATATAATTTAGAGTGCTCAATTTTATGAAGTTAATTTACGAGCAAGGAAGTATCGCCACTTAATTTTTTTTGAGTTAACTATATCCCGAGCATGGTCCCCAACGGGTAGCAAGTCGACGTTTTTGTTGCTATCGTTGTTTCCGTTTTTCAGCCCATCTTTTTGAAAAGGGAGGGGCACATAACTACCCAGAACCAGCCCGAGTAAAACCACCCTCTTCCCTCCAATCCCCACCCCCTCCCCCCGCCGAGAAAACCTCACAGCTGCACCAGTAATTAAAATAAACTATAACCTCATGATGACGACGAACATTTCAAGGTCAAGAAAGTGTGGCAATCTAACAAATTAAGCTATGTGCGCGGCAACACCAACAATAATTTACAAGGTTCTCCAAAGCGAGTATACTTTACACCTCTTTGCAGTTGGTTATGCAAAACTCAGTGACTGATGTAACCGATGATTTTCCAAGGGGCGAAGATATCCTCACGGGTTCTCAATGTAGTATTAAAACAACAGAACACTTAACTTGTCGCACTGATAACATAATTATGCAGAATTTCATCACCTTATCATGAAGGTGATCGTCGTAATTTTGAAAGATATACAGTAGCATCAATACGGAAACGTAGAGAGATAAGGAACTCGTTGATACTGGTTACGTGACTGAAAGCACGAGAGGGACTCACGCAGGCCCTCTCAACAGGTGCGTGCTCAAATCAACGAGTAAGACGAGAACACACCGCATGAGATAACCACGTGAACAGTATGGGCGACTCAGGATTGTTTCCTTCGTTAAATCTCTGAAAAAGGAAGTGTTGTAAATGTCGAATACGTCTCTTTGTTTCTTAGCTTAGATGAAGATAGCATGCGAAGTATCGATCGCAGGGTCGTTGGTTCGACTCCTATTGGAACACTCGGAGTTATTTTTCCTCCGAGTACGCCTATGTCATTCACTGAATAATATCTTCTTTCAATCATCATCATAGTTGTTGATGAAGCAGTCTTTGATGAGATGGCTTTTTGTGAGTTAGTTTCCATAACAACTGAATCGGCAGAAGCGTTTAGAGTGGGAAATATAATTAGACAGCTTTTCAGTTTGTCCTTTGAACAGTTCCGCCACAATCTCCCCCCTAAGCAACACAAAATGTTCAGTAATGACAAGACGTCTATCAATTATGAAATTAAATTGAACAAAATTTGGCTCCTCAGGGACAATGTAAGAAAATAACTCGATTTAAAAAAAATGTAATTAACTTCCCTGGAAGATTCAAGATTGCGGTTCCTGCTCGATGACCTTCTTAGTCCAATATTCTTTGTGGGATTTAAGCTCTTAAAATTTGCGTCAAACTGGCAGAACGATAGATCAGTTTCTATCATTATTATTGTAGTGTTGTATTGCTAGAGAACGTTTCAATATTCTCAAGCAAGTTGCTACGAGAATCAAGCACGGTTTTTGATCAAGGGAAAAATAACTACTTTAAATAATATTAAAAATTAAAGGTGTTATTTCTTAGTAGCAACTGAAATTGCCAAAAACATACTAGTCACTTGTACAATAATTAATTTTCACTTTGAAGGATGAATTTTTTTTAAGCATTTAGATCCAGAGCTTTCGAGTCTAGTTTTTTAACTCAGATTATTTATTCACGTTGCGTTTTTAATTATTGAGATTTGTCATTACTTTTAAAAAGGAAAAGTGATTCTCTTTTACAAAGCTGTTAAAAAGCTTGTGCCAATCACACCTACTCATATTTGCTTCCGTGACCCTACGAGATCCTGAGAAATCGTACGTGCAACTTTTTGTTATCCTTATCAGAACTATTATTCTTGTAGTTAAGATTGCCACCTACCTTACAATGCAAGATTAACAGTTACAAGCAAGGAAACACCTCAGGCTTATCCCTTGAAATATTTATACTAACCATGGAAATTAAGGCACTTTAGAGATCGAAGAAATATCTAACCTCACGTGAGAACAGTCGGTTTTAGACTTCTTCAAGCACAAGCGCGGGCGTCAACTGAAGTTTTACATGAAAATATGAATCCTGAAATTGTGTTGAAAGATTGTCCTTTTGATCAGTGGGAAGTTGATATTTGTTTTGAAATTTAATATGAGGATTACGCCTTACAACTTTACAATTTAGATTTGAAGCTTTGTCGGAGCCTTCAAAGTTATCTGAGAGTTGATTCTGTCAATCAAACTGTTCATCTTCTTTTGGGAGTACAATAAATTCTAGGAGGGCACTCGAAGAGTTTACAAGAAGAGCGGAATAAAAAGGAAAACCCCGCCGTGCCGTTTAACCGAAATTCGTGTAATACTAAAAAAGAAAGACATGTATCTGGAAGTCCTAATCTACTGCTTAGGTTTTTGCAGATGTGTTTATCTAAGGAACAAAAAGATTCATCCATCAAATGTTTAAAGACCAATTACGCTATACTGACATAAGTTTAAGCCGCAGGAAATTGCGAGAAGCAATGATTTTTGAAAATAAATGAAACTCAGTTTAAGGCATTGAATTGCTTTAGAAATTAAAACAAAAACAAGAGAGAAATAGTTAATTCCAAGCGGGGATTACATATAACCGTCCTTTTCGCAGCCATATACTAAGTGCCATGATGTTGAGAGCGTGGTCAGTTGTGAAGTTTGTACAAGATTTGCTCGGTCTGTTTTTCCCAGTTATGGTAATCCAACATAATTTAAATCTGTAATATGGCAGTTTTAAAGTCCTTCTTTCTTTCAGTTGCGGTTTGTTTTTTTTGGATTCCTTTCAAGAAGATTCAAATTTGTCATTGTTTTATTGACCAAGGTAAGTATATTATTAAGTTGACCTCTAGTTTTCACCAGATAATCAATTCGCTGCTATGCAAAGATATTGGATCTAGCACACTCTTGCGTGAGGCAATCCTTTCCTTTGTGAACTACCAGTGCGACGTGCCTGGCACAAGTGGAACTGAGCAGGTTCGCTCCCTACGGGCGAGCAGACCAAATGATGATGATGATAATAATAATAATAATAATGATGATGATGATGATGATGATAATGATAAAAGAACAATTTCAAATCAATGGATTGAATTGAAAACAAAATGCAAGAGGCGCTCAAATAAAGAAGGAAGAAAAAAGGGAGAAAGAAATATTTTATTACAGCAGAGGTTAAGCTGAGATATTATAAAAAATGCAATTTATTATTAGATATGCGAAGTATAGGAATGATTAATGTGGGAAGTCCGTACACAAAACATCCGTACGAAATGTGACCGCAATATATGATGACTACAACTAATCACGCGTATGCGTATCACCAAACAGATGTAGAGGCAACAAATCTCGATAGCGCTGACTGACCAAAGCGAACAGACGAGTATTTATAACATAATTTGTTTCTGTAATGCTTAGGATAACAACTACATAAGCGGAAGCTAGCTGGTTCACAGTCGCCGCCTGTCCTCCTGATTTTCTTTTGGAGGGTGGGGGACGGGGGGCGGCTGTACAGCAAAAGCAAAATTACAAAATAATTTTTTTTTCCTCGCACATTGTAATGTTCATGATACAAAATAAAATTAATGAAGAGAACACTTGATGCATGATACCTGATAATATTGAACCAGGTAAGGGAGGTGGGGGGGAGGGGTAGAGGGGTAAGGAGTGGCATGCCCACATCTCACTCTCATCGGCCCGCCGGCCTCTTCTGTGCGAGGGAGAGTTTCACATTTTAAGACTATTTATAACTTTCCGTTAATGTTTCACTTTTTTTATATTCATTGCTAGAACAAACTAATATTGAGAATTATTTAGTACAGTCGCACTAAATTGCAAGTGGATTTACCGAAAGAATTTGAGATAAATTGTACTGTTTTGCATCTATTTCACGTGATCAGGTTGCGTGACTTAAATGGTGATAAATATCATATTCGTGCGCATGAGAATAAAGGTAAAGACTTCCCATGTGGCGTCGCAGTATCGCCTTCAAATTTTATTTTATTTTTTTTTTTTTTTGCTCTCACAAGCATGTCTTCAAGGGATTTTCCCTTTTTTGTAAGAGATGATCAGAGGTTTGTAGAAATTGTTTTCAGCAAGGGCTGACTGTGTAGCAGACTTCAATGTTCCATCAATATTTGCTTTCGAATTTTAACTGCCGGATGGTACATTGTTACTAAACGCAATAAACGCTCCTGACCTTTTGGCTTTAGTGTATGTGTCAGAGCCGATTGTCTAGAGGCAAAGTTGACCCCTGACGGAGACCATGATGTTTTCCGTGTACCCCCTTGCTTTGAGGCGTTGTTTCTACCAAACCTCTGGTCATCTCTCACAAAAAAAGGGAAAATACCTGAAAGACATGCTTGTGAGAGCAAAAATATATTTTGAAGGCGATATGGCGACGCGACCACAAAAGCTACATGGGGAGTCCGTGTCGGTCTGCCTTTACTTTTATTCTCAGGCAGCACTTTTTTAACCATTTAATCTTCACTCGCAGCTACTCGGTATGCGAATTTCAAAGCTAACA